AAGTGCCAGCAGTGGATTTGGATCCTACAGGGCTGCAGACAGCTCCTGATGTGCTTCCTCTGAAGGAGAGGAGGAATGGGAAATAGCTCGCCCTGACCAGATACATCGTGGATCCTGAGGGCACAGTGAGCTCTAGGGACAATCCCAGCCCCAGCTTCACCTTCATCCAGCTCTTCTCCAGAGCAGGAGCTGGGCAAACCCAAAATGACTGGTTTGGGGTCCCGTGCACTCAGGCTGTTTGTGTGACTCCATGGTGCAAAGGATGCAGAGGGATACAGTTCCCACTCACACCTCAGGTGATTCCAGCCCTCCCATGGGCAAAGTAAGGGTGGTCATAGCAGCCAGCTCCACTCAGCAGTGCCTCAGGATGCCTGGAGAAGTCAGGTGGGACAGTGACAATGCCAGTGTCCCCCACCTCTGAGGGAGCCCTGTCCCCAGGCTGTCCCTGCCCTGCCCCTGCATGGCCAGCAAGCAGGTTGGCAGCTTGCAACACACCCGAGCACGCTGCAAAGAGGCAACAGCTGCTTCCTGCTGGCCCAGATCGAGAATTTTAATTAAGGAGAAGATTTGGGGGAATAAAGGGGAAGATCCCTCCCAAAGCTGTAATTAAAGAAACTCAGGGTGGGGCAGGATGACAAGAAAGGGCATGTCCTGCTGCCAGTGGGGCTCAGCTCAGGAGGGCAGTGCAAGGGGAGCAGAGACTCCCAAGCACGGGCTGGGAAGGCTGCTCCACACCCCAAAAACAACCTTTCAGTCTTGGCTGAGGTCCCCCAGACCTCCAGCAAGATCCACTGAGCACAGAACAAGCAGGTGCCCCAGAGAACCCAGATTCTTCAGTTGTGCTCTGAGTTATGGCAAAGGTGAGGGCAAGGTAGGAGGATCCTCATGGCACGAGGTCCTGGCCCCAGTTCACCCTCTCTGAGCTGAAAGGGGCCAGGTCGGAGCCCAGGAAGCCATGGTGGGCTTTGGGAGGGGGGTGCTGTCACCAGCATCTCCAGAGCACTTCTGAGCTGTTCGAAGAGGTTCCTGAAAAGAGGCATGGCGTAAGATTCCAAAAAAAACCCTCAACAACCCTATGAAATAGACTGGGGTGAGAAGACGAGCTGGAGGCATCACTGCCTGAGAATTCCTGCTGCCACCCCTACACCTCACATCGGCAGAGCCCTGGGAGCCACCAGCACCTCTGCATCCTCCTGGCTTACCCCAGCTCCCAAAATTCTACCCAACACCGTTGCTCATCACTCCAGCCCGACTTTGCCGGGTCTCTCCCTGTCCCCGGAGCTGTGCGGAGCCAGCCCGGATCGATTCGCGCCGCAGCTGCTGTGTGTTTACACAGCCATTACGAGCCCTGCGAGGGGGGAGGCACGGAGCATCCCCGGGGCTCCCGTTTCCAGCAGTGGGGGCAGCTACAGAGGAGCCAAACACCTCCTGCCCCAGAAAGGGCTCCCCGGCACAGTTTCCATTGCACAGTCACACCCTGGGGGACCCTCAAGCTCATTCATCAACTCCTCTTTGCCGACACGAACGGGACCTGTTGCAGGCGGTGATATTCTGCAGGGCCTGTGCAGAGGGGTCGGGATGACCTGGGAAATACTTATTAATTGCCTTCACTGAGAGGAGCAGTGCTCGGAGCAGCCATGCACGTTTCGTGGCATTTGGGGTAGCTCCAGACCCCAAACCAGAGCTTTTGCCTGGAAACCTTAGTGTTTATTTATGAAAATCTCAGCTTCTTTAGGAAGAAAAGAGCGTATCACTCGAGAAGAGACAAGCGTCTCTGAGCGGGGAATGACACTGAGGAAAACACAGCTGATATCAAGGTAACAGCTTTGGCTCATCAAGGTCTCCATCTCCTCCACCCGGAGCTGCTCCGAGATGTAAATCAAGTGCAAAAGCCACCCTGGCTCTCCAGGCTCCTCTCAGCCCCCTGCCCACGTGCCTGCAGCACCCGCCGCCGCTCCCGGTGTCTGGAAATAAACAGCCTGTTCCAGCACCACTTGGTATTTCCAGAAAGGTTAACACAGCGTGAGAGGGGCCAGAGCCACCGCTCGGGGGGCTGGAGAGGCTCCAGGCAAACCTGCCAGGGTTCCGGGGCTCCCTGCTTGGCAGGTGACCTCCTGGGTCACCCCTGAAGCGTTTGCTTCAAGCTTTGATATTTTCAGGCTTTGCGCTGCTAAGGCTTCCTTCTCCCACCCCCACGTTTCCCCACCAGCATTCCCGCCTCTGAAAAATCAACAGGAATGTCAAGCTGAGAGGGAAGCCTGAAGGTCCACATCCACGGGGCAAGCCAGGAGTTTCCCCCCTGCTTTGGAGCTTTATCCCAGTTTTCCGGCACCCCTTCTATGGGGAGCTGCTGTTGGTCCTGGTGCAATTCCCAGGGGATGGAGCAGCAAAGCAGCTGTGCATGGACGAGTTCCACAATTTGCTCCATAAATACACACACTCTGGGGCTGGGTTTGCAAACCAGGCTGCTGGGACAGACAGAAAATGCTTGGAGATGCTGCTTTATCCAAGCCAGTGGTTAAAACAGAGCAAAGCATAGAAACTCATACTTAGGGATGACCACTTATCGGGGGAAAAAAGGGAGGGCACTAAAGCACCTGGATACCTGTGTTTAAACCAGAGTTTGAACTTTCCTTACCCCAAAACAAGCCACTTACCCTTCTGTTTGGAAAGAAGAGTTGGGAGACATCCCCAGCCACTCACCACAGGCAGACCTTTTCCACCCAGTGTGCCTCAGTTAAACCCTTCCCTCCCTGCTGGGCTGTACTGGCCTCTCCAGGTGCCAGCTGAAACGATTTTAAAGCCTCTGGCTGGGCCAGGAATGGCTGATCCATATTCCTGAGGTCTCATTGCTATTCTGCAGCTTCAGCTCATTAGTGCTTAGGTGCTACAAGAGCGGGAGCGTTGGAAGTTTCTGGGTGAGACAGCTATTAGGGGAGAATTGAACACGTCTCGTACAAACCCATGGCCTGTGTGAACTCGCTAATTTACACCATCGATCTCAAAGGTGCCCACAGGCCACCTGAACCAAAAAAAAACCCCTGCCCTAGATACAGGCTCAGCCACTGGGGGGAAAAAAAAGAGAAAACTTAAGCAAAATAAATAACCTGCAGCCCCAGAAAACTGGCTGCATCATCACACCCCCTGCTAATCCATTAGCCAGCCCTCCTCCGCACGCGGCTCTTAGGAACGGTGTGAGCTCCAGCTCAGGAGCTCCTGGAGAGAACCACCACAGAATAGAATCACAGAATGGTTTGGTTGGAAGGGACCTTAAAGATCATCTTGCCATGGGCACGGACACCTTCCACTATCCCAGGTTGCTCCAAGCCCCGTCCAACCTGGCCTTGGACACTTCCAGGGATGGGGCAGCCACAGCTTCTCTGGGCAACCTGGCCAGGGCCTCCCCACCCTCACAGCCAAGCATTTCTTCCATTTATCTGACCTAAATTTCCTGTCTTTCAGTTTGAACCCGTTGCTCCTTGTCCTGTCACTACGGTTCCTGATGAACCAGCCCAGCAAAGGGCCAGTATGACCAGTACAAACACCCACGCTGTACTGGGGGAACACACTGGGGGTCTGCCCTCTTACAGGGACTGCTCCCAGCACACGTGCTCAGCACAGGGCAGGGAAAGCTCTTGGCCTTTCATTTGAGGAGGGCTGAGCCACTGCAGCCCTGACGGTCCCCATGTCCCCTCTCTGTCGGATGTGCTGAGTTTTCCCTTCTCTGCAGCGGGAGTTGTGTCCTCACCCAGGTTTGAGCTCTGCCTGTTCACACCTCGTGACAGTCCCGTGGGGAAGTCACCGGGCAGAAATAACCTCTTTTTGCCTCTGCTTAAGACAAATGGGGGGGAAAAAACCCCAACTTTTCTCCTAATAAGGGAACTCAAAGTGATGAATTTTCCACTTATCCTGAAGTTCTTCCCTCGGAGGCACTGATGCATTTTTAATGGTCTCGATGTAGCTATTAAGCTGGTAATTGGAACAGAGCGGACTCCGGCTCCCGGCAGGTCGGGCCCCCTCCGAGCGTGTCCCCACGCCACGCGGGTGGGTGTTTCTGGGGTCTCTGCTCCTCCCAGCATCGCTGACCCTGCTCGGCCCCGTGTCCGGGCAGACCATCACCACTAAGGTCCCGGCGCTTGAGGTGCTTGTCTCCGGCCTGATCCTGCCTGAAGAAGGCTGACAGGGAAAATATTTGGGAAAGGAACC